AACACAAAACCATCGAATAGTTTTCCCCAACAAATCTAATGACAGTATTATAAGTTTGCAGCCATTCCAATCTACCAAACTTTTGAAACCCAAAAATATGCAGCAATTTTCAGCACCCCAAATTTAGTCAGGATTTTCAGGAGAGAAAATCTTCTTCCAGAGATACATAACAGACCTGTCCAGTTTTCCGAATCCCGTCGTTTTTCCTTTCGCTCTTGCTTTTTGTGACCCTTAACTGTTGTTTGTCCTAAATAAATTTTTTGATGAAATAATTCACTGCAGTGAGAGAAGCTAATTCTTCAGCTGCTCCCTTGCTACGTTATTTTACGTTGCATAACACTGATGAAGATACAACGAATGAGTATTTTTACAGAAAATTTTATGCATCTCTACAGGTGTCAGAGACGTCAATTTTTTATTGGAGAGCCGAAATGTGATCATTTTTGCTATCCATTGAGCGGTGGCTACCAGTGGGACACAAATGACAAAATTATCAGTCACTTAGCCAAAACGCGATCTAAGCTAAGCCTTACTTTAGCTTCTCAGTACCGCCCTGTTCGCGTCATCCAATTTCTGCTTATTTGTTTTGCTTTTCCCTTCTGTCCGGCGACACTATTTCAGGTCGGAGAGAGCCAGCTTCACCTGTTCTAACACCGCAATGCCTACTCCGACCAGCATGCATCATCTCACCATGGCCTACCTCTGCGATATTCATACTGGAAATAGCAATATTTGACGACTTTTTGGGCCTCCAGCTCACCTAAACTTCCCCACATAGCAGCCAATACTTGCAGAAAGCAGTGTGCTAACAGAGAAATGAACGAAAGTTTTTGAGGCCTCATTTTTCTGAGACAAAGATACACCACGGGACGACCAGATGCACGCTCTTTTGCTTAACTTTCCTGAAAATCACTCGCTGCACAAAGTAAAGCGTTGAGAAGTTCACCCTTATCTCGCGAATCTCGGCGCGCCTTCTCTGCGGAGTGCTTTCTGGATGGCGATTCATC